ATCTTTCCAAAAGAATTAAAAGAATCACAGGAGGCTGAGGTAGGAGGATTGCTGTGAGTTCGAGACCAGCCTGAGCTACATAGTGAGTTCCAGGTCAGTCTCACTACATAGTGAGACCCTGTCTCAAAAAACAAAAAACAAAACAAAACAAAACAACAAGAATTAAAAGAATCATACCACACTGATATATGCACATTCAGGTTTATAGCGGCACAGTCTGTAATAGCTAAAACTTGGAAACAGCCCATCTGCCCATCAGTTGGAAACTGGATAAAGATGTGGCTTTTCTATAAAATGAAATATTACTCAGCCATAAAGAATGAGAAATTAGCTTCATTCATAGGAAAATGGATGCATATTGAGGATATACTCCTAAGTGAAATAAATAAGTCACACAGGTGTAAATACCGAATAGTTTCTCTGGTGTGAATAAACCATAATAGTACATAAGATCCTAATGATAATAACTGACAATGTGAAATAGGAAGAAAGGGGCTAAAGATGTAGGGAAAGTTGGAAGGGTAGGGGAAAGGTAATAAGGGAAAAGAAAAAAATATGAGAAAATGAAAAAATGGAAATGAAGTGTTTGTAAAGGGGGAGGGGAAGAGAGGGTGAAGGGAGGGCAGGGACAAGGGGAAAAAATGAGAACCAAGACCTGTCATGTAAAGGACAAGATCCCAATAATGAATGTAACTGTACTGTATACCTAGAATGTACCAATAATCTCAATGAGAAAAAAAAAAAAACACAACAATCTGGATGAGTTTCCACAAAATTAAGGTGAGTGGAAAACAAAGCCAATCTCAAATATGATTGCACTTACATAAACATCCGAAGGGACAAAATTATAGAGCTGGAAAAGAGGTCAATGGTATCCAGGTGTTAGGGATGGGTGATATGGGCAGGGAGAGGGTGGTTATGGTAAAAAAGACAGCACGCTGCATTGATAGAAATGCTTTCTCTCTCTTGACTGTGGGGGTGGACACACAAATCTACTTGTGGGATAAAATTGCCTAGTGCCAAATACATACATACATACATACACACAAAAAGATACAAACAAAACGGGACATCTCAGATCTGTAGATTGCATCAACAGAAAATATAGTTTTGTAAAATGCTACTATTAGGGAAAAGTGGGTGAAGAATACACAAGATGTAATTCTGAAATACTGCAAAATGAAAAAATAATTTTAGAAAGCTACCATCAAGAGTTAATATTAAGAATATTTAAACTAAAAGCACTACTTGTACTGTGTATCATTTCAAACTTGCCAAAATTGGGAGAAGTGGTGGCAGATACATGGCAGGTGCTTGTTCAGTTAAACTTCCTAGTAAAGCTGGGTAGTATATTGTCCTATCACTGTCTTTCAGGAGGTCTTCTGCTTTTGCTGGTATTTCTACCAGTATAACTTTATCAGTGCCTGAAAGAAAAGGATCCTCAATCCTAAATTCTGTATGAGGTGAAACTATCCTTCAAGGAAAGCAAGTAAAATATATTCCCACACAAAAGAAAACTAAAAGAAGCTGTCCCTAGCATAATTACCCATATAAAAGGCTGAAGGAAAATCTTCAAACAGAAAGGATATTATAAAAGAAGGAATTTCAGAGCATCAAAAAAAAAAGAACAATGGAAAGATCTGAAATATCAGTGTGGAGAAAATGTATCACTGCTACTGGGACTGTAAAATGGTACAGCTTCTCTGGAAACCTGGCAGTTTCTTATAAAACTAGCATGCTATTTCCCCAACGACCTGGAAATCAGACTCTTGAGATTCATTACAGAAAAGAAAATTTATACTTATACATAGCTAGCACATGAGTGTTCATAGAGGTTTATTCCTAAAACCAAAATCTGGGGGAAAAACAATTTATGTCCTTGAATAGTTACAAAAAATTACTGAATAATCAAAACATGGAAAACTATTCAGCACTAAAAAGGAAGAACTAGCTGGGTATAGTGGTGCACACCTTAATATCAGCTACTCAGGAGGCTTAGGCAGGAGGATTTCAAGTTCAAGACCAGCCTGGAAAATTTAGTGAGAACCTGTCTCAAAATAAAATAAAAAATGGCTGCGGATATAGTTCAGCAGTAGTTGAGCATGCCTGGCATGCTCAAGGTCTTTGCTCAATTTCCAGTATCACAAAAGAAGAAACTGTCTATCGATATATACAACCACCTGCATGAGTTGAGTTTTCGTGAAACTATTTTGAGTTTAAAAAACTAAATACCACATGATTTCCTTTATATAATAAAAGTGGCAAAATTACAGAGTATGTTTGCCAGGCATTAGGGAACAGGCGGTAGGGAAGGAAAGGGTGACCTGAGAAAGGTGGGTATGGTTATAAAAAAACCAAGATGAGGCAGCTAGTTGTAATCAAATTGTTTTGCATCTTGCCTGAGGTGATGGCAATTAAACCTATTCCTGTGATAAATATGCACAGAAATAAGTATAAATGTACAAAATTTTCTACAAGTAAAACTAGAGACATCTCAGTAATATCTGTGAATTGAACCAAGGTCAATATCCCAATTATGTTATTTTACTATAGTTTTCCAAGATGTTATTATTGAGAGAAAAGAGTAAAGTATAAAGGGAATCATTATTTTTTACAAATATATGTGAATCTAAAATTATTTCAAAATAAAAAGTTTAATTTAAAAAGTGAACCAGACATGGTGGCACACACCTATAATCCCTGAGCTCTGGGAGGTTAAGGTAGGAGAATCACAAGTTTGAGCTATCCCAAAACAATTCAACAACTTAGCAAGACCTTGTCTCAAAATTTTAAAAATAAAGAATAAAGGGCTGGGGATATAGCTCAGTGTCAAAGCCCTGGGTTCAATCCTCAGTACCACAAAGAAGTGAACGACAATTAGCTTGCATTAATGATGTTAATGGGCCCATATTCACTAGTGCTACTTGTTTTGTTGTTTTTGGTACCAGGGATCAAATCCAGGTCCTTGTGTTTGCGAGGCAGGCGGCAGAACCACTGAGCTAAATCCCCAGCCCCTCACTAGTGCTACTTGTAATCTGTATTATCTCAAACTCACCAGAATCAGACAAGGAGCTGGGAGATGAAGACAAAAGACGCTGGCCAATGTCATTACCCAATACAGGTGGGTAATTCCTTGCCTCGGAGTTATTTTCCAAGCTAGCTTCTGCTGTTCCTGGCATATCTACAAGAAGAACATTTTCCAGAACTCTTACCCATGGATTTATATATAGCAAAACTATCATTTAGTATAGAAAAATACATTTTTACATTAAAGAAAACTAAAATTATTTATCCCTTACAGATATATCCTTAAAGAAAGGCAACAGGAAAATAATGATATGAAAAAGGAACTTCAAAAAAAGGATATGATGAAAGGAATATTGGAACAACAAGAAAAAGGAACAATATAAAGAGCAGAAATATGGACACAAAGAAACAGTATCACTCATATATAGCTGGAAGGAATGTAAAATGGTCTGGCCATGCTAGAAAACATAGTTTTTTCATAAAACTATTCATATGTTCAAACTCATCAAATTGTGTACATTAAATATGTGTATATTTTGCATATCAATCACTATTGTTTGAATGTATCCTCTCCAAAATTCAGTGTTACCAATGTGACAATATGAAGAGAAGGTACTTTTAAGAGGTGATTAAGTCATGAGGTTTCCTTACTAATGAATGGTGTCAAGATCTTTATAAAAGAGGCTTCATGCAATGGTCAGTGAGCTTGCCTTTCTACCTTCTGCCATGTGAGAATACAGATTTTTCTCCCCTCTGGAGGATGCAACCCTCACTAGACAATCAAACATGCAGCACCCTTGATCATGAACTTTCCAGCCTCCAGAACTGTAAGAAAATAATTTCTTTTCTTCATAAATTTCCAACTCTGTGCTGTTTTGTTATAAAAACACAAATAGACTAAGATATTAATTATATCTCAATAAAGCTATTTTTTAAACTAGGGCTGTTTCAGTGATAGAGTGCTTGTCTAACATGCAAAGCCTTTGGACCAATGCCAGTACCACAAAAATTAAAGTAACATGCAATTAGCACATAATCAGCAATTTCACTCTGGAGAATTTATGCCAGAGAAATGAAAGCTTAAATTCACAGAAAAATCTGTAGTTAAATGTTCATAGCAGCCTTACCCCTAACAGTAAAAAACTAGGGAAAAAGACTCTTTCAACAGAAGAATGGTTAAACCATGCTACACCTAAAATATAGTCTAAAGAACTTTGCATTAAAAAGGAACTGCTGATATATGCAACTTGGTTGAATCTCCAGGAAATTATGCTGAGTAAAAAAAAAGGCCAGTATCAAAAGGTTATATACTACTGTATATGTGTCCAGTTACATAGCAATATTGAGGTGACAAAACTACAAATAGAGAACAGACTGGTGGTTGCCAAAGGTTAGTGATGTGTGAGAAGAGAGTGAAAGGGGAGGGCAGCCAGAGGGGAAAAGGTTTTGGCTGTAAAAAGTCAATACAACCTTGTGTGACAGAAATGAACCTTGTAGTAACAGAATATACTACACCTTGACTATTGTGATGAATGTATACACCTTCTCATGTAATAAAGTTGCACAGAACCAAATTTACAGAGACAAAGATGAATACAATTAAAAGCTGCTACCACTGAGGGAAAGTGGGTAAAAAAGGTATCTCTGCCTTATTTCTTACAACTATATGTGGAGCTACAATAATCTCAATATAAAACTTTTAATTAAAAAACAACAGCCTGCCTTGCAAGCAGAAGGTCCTGAGTTCGATCCCCAGTAACCCCCTTCAAAATGACAACAGTTTTCAGGAAGGATTTTCTTTTTTTTTTTTTTTTTGGTATCAGGGATTAAACTCAGGACCTGTGCTTGCAAGGCAGGCGGTAGAACCACTGAGCTAAATCCACGGCCCTCAGGAAAAAAATTTTTTTAAAATCTAGATTAAATGATGACATTTATAATATATATCGTTACAAACTCACCAAAGTGGGAAAGGAGGCAGACAGATGAGAAGGTAGTATCTGGGCTCATGTTCCCACTTCTTAAAAAGTCTGAGTAATTCATCCTATCAGGGCTATTGGCCACACTAGGGAATCCTGGTGGTGGAACTTCTATAGATGTCGCTACAGACGTCTGGGAAAATGAGGAGACATTGTTAGAACTTTTAGCACCCCCTTTGAAAGAGCAAGATACTACAGAGAGACCAGCACATTAACTCTCCTCCTGCATTAGACATGGCTGAAATGAATATATAGAGGCAGTTCTAGAAAGTGCTGGCCTCTGTGTCTAAGCTGCTGCCCTTGAGAACTTGCTGCTGACTGAAGTGATACTCCTGGAGCATTGGCCTGAGCATTGGTTGCCCACCTTGCCACTGGCAGTGATGAGCTGCCATTTCCCTGTTCACAGTAAGAAAACAAAATAAGTTAAGTTCTTTCCTCCCATTTCTGGACTTTAATTTCTCATGATATACACAATCAAAACCTTCTGTATGAATCCAGATGACCTCTTAAATAACACAAATCCAGGTAGGTCAACTGTGAGTAAAAATGAAGATTAAAAAGCTTACTATTTGCTATATAATTTCCACTATTAAGGGTAAATGCTGTATTTAAATTACATGATTTTTATTCCTTTTTAATACATTTATACATGATTACTGACATAATAATACTGTGTTGTAATATATCAAACCGAAACTTCAGCATTCTTTCCACAGTTTTAGTTCCTATCTACTGCTATCATAGTAGTAATATACTATGATACTATACTACATAGTATACTATCAGCCTTGCTGATATCACAGAATTCCTAGCTCCTTATCACTTCCAGCTGTCTGGCATCTTTAAGAGCAAGAGATTTATCAAAGTTGTAAAACCACTCTCATAATACTTACGCATCGTTGTGTCAGTGATCTCTCCCAAAACTTTTGCATTGCTATAAAGATTCCATTCAGCTTGGCAAACTGTCTATTCGTTTGTTCAATAAGATCTTGTAAGTCCTATTATAACAAAAAAAAATTATTAACTCCTACTTCAAAAGAAAAGTAAGATGTGAGAATGCCATTAAGCCAAATTTTAACTGCTAGGCACAACAAAAGTTCTCCACGCACCAGAAACAACTTCTTTCCTACTTGAGGCCTAGGTGTAGGTGGCACAGAGCCTACCGTGCTGAGATAAGGATCCTGGACCTGCCTCTATCCTACTCCAACTCATGGGGACATCAGCAGGAGAAAGCAAAAGCATCAAAGCCCCTTTATACCATCCCATTTATGATGTGAATTCACATCAAGGAAGGTGATATTTCAGGAAAGAAATGTTCAAATCTGCTAAAAGGCCAAAGAGTGACCTTCCAGGCAATGACTTATGCACTAACAGTGAATTTTCTGCTCTGGAAAGAACATGGAGCCAAATATAACAGGTGTGACTTTTGGCTTCAATGTATTTTATAATATAGTCAGCAAACTTACAAAACCATTGAGTACAGGACCCCCACATGCCCCGAAAAAAATCTGAGAATTCTTGAAATACACAGATATTTCAAGCAAAAGGAAAAAATAAAAAGGCCAGAAACATTTCCTTGTTCATTCATTTGAATGCTTATTAACAACCTACTACCAGTCAGATCTTTGCTACTGGAAATGAGGACCAAAAAAAAAAAAAAAAAAAAA